AGACAAACTTTAAGTATTATATAGTTTCAAGGGAATTTAAGGGCATGCCAGCCACCTTTGGATTAATTCAGACTTTGATGATTTTTGAGAGAGAGCTGTTGAGGAATTGGTTAAATTGTGTATGCCAGCTAATCATGTGAATGTCTTCTTAGTTTGGGCAGTGTAAACGCAGTAAGCATGTTATTCTTTGCTTTTGTGTTTATGCATCAGAGCAAAACTCACATCCAGGTACAATTGTTGCAGAGATTATCATGAACCCAGTGAGCACAGTGGAGTTTCTTTCAAGATTTCTGAGGATGGTCTGTTATCTTTGGAAAGAGTCCAAGAACCGGTCCATACAGGTTGAAATTTTTTTGCATATTAGATTTAATCTTGATAAGTTATGTATAGAGTAAATATTCTTAAATTGAGTTGTGTTTTCCCATGCTAACTAAGGAAATTTGTTCTCCCAGAAAAAGAAATGCTTTGGTCCTTTTCTAACAAAAATCAAACTTTAAAATGGTAGCTTTTTTCAGCGAATATCTGCATTTGTCATTGCACAGATTATAGTAATTTTCTATACAAGAAGCTAGTCAACTGGATCCATGGTCTTGGACACACGATTAAAAACAAATAGTTATTTCCATGTTATTGAGATTTCTTCCTCAAGGTGTGAGACTTGAATGTGGAAGCAGGCACACCATCCGTGGCGTTGTGTCTTGCCTTTAGTGACACTGTCTGGCGAGTAGAGTCATATAAAAGTTGTCTTTTTATTTAGATTTATTGGACTACTGTCTTCTGTGGTCAGAGTGGAACTTTAAATGGATTACTCTGAACTTTTAAAAAAAAATGAATATGCTCAAAGCAATGCTGGCTTTAAAATAGAATGATGCTAGTGGAATGTGTTTAAACTCTTACACTGCTTCTATTTTTTAATGACTGAGGCACCAATCAAATTTGTCTTTGAATCTTGTAAAAACCAACTGGACTACCCTTATATAGGACCTAGAACGTATGAGCAATGATAATTTGTTCACCTGGCAAGGACGTGACAGAGTGGAAGAAAAAAAAAATCCCACAGATTTAAGTTATCTTAGTAAATTCTTTCAATCACCCATAAAGTACAATATATGTAGTTTCGTGTGTATAACCCTGAACAATTCTTTTTTTTTTGTATTTTTATTTAAATTTTTTTAACTTACATCCAAGTTAGTTAGCATATAATCCAACAATGATTTCAGAAGTAGATTCCTTAATGCCCCTTACCCATTTAGCCCATCCCCTCTCCTAGAACCCCTCCAGTAACTCTGTTTGTTCTCTATATTTAAGAGTCTTTCATGTTTTGTCCCCCTCCCTGTTTTTATGTTATTTTTGTTTCCCTTCCCTTACTGAACAACAATTCTTATGCATACATAGTCTGAGAACTACTGGGCTAGAATAAAGAGGGAACAAAAGGGGTGCTGTCTGGATATTCAAACCATTCTTTTTTTAAAAAAAATTTTTAATGCTAATTTATTTTTGAGAGAGAGAGCATGAGTGAGCAGGGGAGGGGCAGAGAGGGAGAGGGACAGAGCATCCAAAGCAGGCTCAGCACTGACAGCAGACAGCCCTCACACTCAGCAACCGTGAGATCATGACCTGAGGTGAAGTCAGACGCTTAACTGACCCAGTCACTCCAAACTGTTCTTTATGGTAACTCTCCAATCCATGGGAAAGTGGAGGTAGGAGTGGATAAAGTTTTCAGTTCTATGGTCAGCCTTACATTTGGCACATATGATGTGACTCAGTGAATATCCTATATACCCTTGGGTTTTGTAGGTCTTCTCTCAGTCTTCTAGAGTTCATATTGTGTATGAGAATTACCTGATAAAACTGTGTAACCCACGTACCTACACTCTCCACGTTGGAGTTATGAATATGTGCTTAAAACATTTTTTTGTTACGAATTTTTGGGGTATGAATATGTATTTTTAGAGAGTTGCCCAAATGATTCTTCTGTGACCAGAATGTAGTCTTTGGAACCCAGTGATCAAGAGAATGCAGTGGGGGTGGGGGAGATATTTGGCCACAAGACGCCATGGACATTTCTGATCCTATTTTAGCTTAAATTATTTAGGGAGTAACGACTGTGTTTTTCACCTAGATTTAAAAGGAAACAATTTGGGACTCCTGGGTGGCAGGGTCAGGTAAGGGTCTGACTCTTGATCTCAGCTCGGATCTTGAGCTCAGGGTCATGAGTTCAAGCCCCGCATTGGGCTCTGTGCTGGGCGTGAAGCCTGCCTAAAAAAAAAAAAATAAATAAATAAAAGGACATAACTTCAGTTATTAAGCAAATCAACCATTTCTTAGAAGGATCATCCAGAAGATTGGTCTTTCAGTAGATATAAAATTAGTACACTTAAGTTTGCATATTTTAAAAATTAAACACCCATGAAGTCATTTATTTGCTTGGGGTGCTAGGGCCTTTGATTTCCACCTGCAGGCATCACTGAAATGTTCACCTGAGGTTTTGTTTGCCTCTTTGTTAGTTTTTAATAACTTGGGTGTTGAATTGTATTCTTTTTTTCCATTTTGGAAGGGAACTCAGTATTTCTCATCATTTAATTAAAGTTCAGAATTTTATTCAAAATTCAGTTTAGAAAGGAAATACACATTTCATCTCTTAGGGTGAGGAACCCCTTTCAACATGAAGCTTCCTGTACTCCTGCTGATGTTTTTATCTTCACTTGTCCTTAGTTTCTGATTCGTGAGGTATTTTCTTTACTTGTAAATGCTGGTTTCGCCCATTCTAGTTTCTCTCGCATTGTGTCTCATCAGGTTTGCTCCCTTTCTTTATTCTTAGTCTGCCTGTCTCCTTGCGTCTTTTCCCGAGCTGAACAAAATCTGTTTTCCCACACTCAGATAACCTGCCCTCTCTCTGCCTTGCTATGTCGCCGTCTATCTATCATATCATTTAATCTCTTTGCTCCCCTATCCCTGCCAATGTTCTTAAGATTAACTATATTTGCTGCATCTATATCTTGACCTTTTGCGGTTTGGTTTCTATTCTTGTCACTTTGTTGCAACTCCACTTTCAAGGAGTCCCCGGTAACTTCTCATTTTACACAGGCTAGCAGTCTTTTCTAAACTCTCATTCTCTTTGACCTTTTGCAGTATGTGAGGATGTTGATTCCAGTCTCCTTGATATCTCTTGTGTTGACATATGTGACACTTCAGGCTCAGTTGTCCAACCTCTCTGCCTCTGCTGCTCTTTGCTGAATCATCCTCTATGCTTGCTATATAAATGTATTTATTACCATGTTCTTCTGCCTTTGCTGTCCCTGCCACTTCTTTGTGCGTTCCTTCTTGCTGTATTTCAGCTCCAGAAGCTAGGACAAAATTGTAGGGTATACCCTGGGGGATTCCTGGACTGAGCTGAACCCAGAGGGAACATACCTGAGATGGTTAGAGGAAGGGAGAATGTGTTGGAGACCCAATGTTGTAGTTAGGAAAATCGTACCCGAATATCATGTCTAAAAGGTAAGGATGAGGGGCGCCTGGGTGGCTCAGTCAGTTAAGCATCCTACTTCGGCTCAGGTCATGATCTCGCGGTCCGTGGGTTCGGGCCCCGCGTTGGGCTCTGTGCTGACAGCTCAGAGCCTGAAGCCTGTTTCAGATTCTGTGTCTCCCTCTTGCTCTGACCCTCCCCCGTTCATGCTGTCTCTCCCTATCTCAAAAATAAATAAACGTTAAAAAAATTAAAAAAAAAAAAGGTAAGGATGAAAAATGAGGGAGTAAGCAGTAAGAGTGGTGGTTCGATGATGGGAAATAGAATAGATGAATGGCTCAAGAACACGAAGGTGTGTCTTCTCCAGATCACCTGATATATGAGGGTGCCTAGTGCATGTGACCTGGGAGCATGGTCTCTTTAAAGAATTATGCTGGGGTTTTGGCTTCAATAATCATTCCTCTGGGGATGAATTTCCAATCTGTATCTGAAACCCCATTAAGTTCTCTTATGAACCAGAGTTCTATTTCGATCTTTCTCTTAGACGGTTTCACCTGGATATTCCAAGTGATACCCCGGACTTAGTATATCTCAAATTAAATTTATCATCTTCCTCCTAAAACTGACTCCTTTTGGGGGGATTCCTAATGTATCACTATTTTGTGTCATTCTGGTTCAAAAAGTCAAAACCATCTTTGACTCCCCTTTTAACTAACCCACATGCGGCAATTTGAAAACTTTGTCAGTATTATCTGCATGATGTCATGTAACTGGCCCCAGCTTTATTTTCCTTTTGCTTCAACCACTGATTTATGGGCTCACTGCTACCCTGCACTCCAGAGATAGCCTCCTATTTATTAGCCCCTAATCCCAATTCTGCTCATTTCTGCCAATGTAATGTTTCCAAAAAACTCAACTGTAAAATTTCTTTTTTTTTTAATGTTTATTTATTTTGAGAGAGAGAGCTTTTGCAGTGTGAGTGGGGGAGGAGCAGAGAAAGAGGGAGAGAGAGAATCCCAGGCAGGCTCTGTGCTGGCAGCTGCACAGGCCCAGTGTGGGGCTTGAACCCACAAAACCGTGAGATCATGACCTGAGCTGACACCAAGGGTGGGATGCTTAACTGACTGAGCCACCCAGACGCCCCCTCAACTGTAAAATGTAAAACATACTTTAAAGTTATCACAACATCCCTATCCAGGGATTATGGCTCCCCCCTGAGGGTTTTGTAGTACTTCTCTCTCTACCACTGTGTATATGTGTAATGATTATATACATATATATTTCATTCATATTTGTGTACATGAATGATCAATCCCTGAAGATTGTGGACTTGTTGAGTTGCAGAACCTGTATCTTGTTTACCTTATATCCTTACATATTCCTTGTAGTGACACACAACAAATATTTAGTAAATGGAATTAAACAGCTAGTGGGCTGAAAGGAATCTAATCCCAGTTAATAGTAGCTGATCTGTGATAGTCATTTTAATGTGACATTAATTTCATTTTTTGTGCATTTGTTTTATTCTGAAAAGCTTTTTTATTAAGCTGTGCTGATGGCATAAATGGAACAGTTAACTGGAAGACCAAACAGGCCAACAATTATATTTTCAGCAGAAAAATGACTGGTGGGAAGAAAGATGGTGAGTTTAGGTGGTAAATCTAAATCCCCTTTGGGGGGTCAATTAAATGTTCGCTTCCAGTATCCCATTTGCTTTTTTAGTCATGTGTGGATTTTTTTTTTTTTTGGTAAGTCAGTCTGAAAAAAATCAGATTTTGTTTTCCTAATCTTCTAAAACTTCTGATCCTCTATGTTCTTAATCCATTATTTTCTAAATTTTTTTTCCTTTGCTGTAGTTTGCCTTTTTTTTTAACTAAAAATAATTCTTGTTTTTAACCTATTGTGACCCTTATCCAGTCATTACCTTGCCACTTATAAAAATTGTCCCAGTGTGGTTATTATAACAATTTATTTACAACATTGAAAAACATTAAGAAGCACATTTAACATAAATCATTTTAAAAACAGTATTTATTCAACCTTAGAAAAATGGTCATAAAATATTTTGGCTAATTGTGGATGGTTTTTTGACTGATTTTTTTGTTGTTGCAAAACCAAATTGATATGTTTTGCTATTAAATAATTAGATGGCACTTACTTTCTATTGGAAAGATGACCTGACCCTTGGATGATTTTTTTTTCCTAAATTTTTTCTTCCCTATCATAAATGTGTCCATTAGCAATATGCCAGGACCTTTGAAATAATGCATTTCATCAGGGAGAAAAAGACTTACTTAATAACCAAAAGATGAGTTGTTTTCAAAATGCTGATTATCATCATAAGCTTTCACTTAACATTCCTTGATTATTTGCCTTTAAGATCTCTGCCCACCACCCGCCACCCCAACCACACATATGCACATACACAATTTTGGCTATATGTGCTCCTGCATGTTTGCATGTAGCCTGGTTTCCGTAACTTTGGGGCAACCAAAGTGTCTATAAAAATAGCAATTTAAAAATGTGTTTAGAAGAGAAGTAATTTTATGTGATAAAAATGGCTTTACTGCCATATAACAAATCCTGGGTACCTTGTAGGAATGATTCCTGGCTTACCTCACTCTCTTCATACAGCTCTAAAATTAGAGGTCACTAGCTTTATTCCAGCTAGCGCCAAATTATCCCTTAGCTGGAATCATCCACTTCCAGGTCTGTTTCACAGTAAGACAGAGGCTTCCAGTTTTCTACTCTGCTGTTTTTGAAACAAACCCGCAAATATCTTTGCATTTTTAAAGGAATTTTGATTGGTAATATCCATAATAAAACATAGAGTTTTATAACAATAACTTCCCATGAGAAGATCACAAAACTTTGTTTAAAAAAGCACTAAAAAATGCGTTTGTTCCAGGACCGAAGCCCATCATCTCAGAGTCCTTTCCCCACACCTTCCTTAGATATTCTCAAGGGATTCCTCCTGGTTTCTTCAAGGGAATTACCCATGATGATCATCAGTATCTGGATGCTTCCTTATTCAAGCTGAGGGCCCTCAGCTTTTTAGGCATATCCCCTCTTCCTGTTTTCTGATCTTCCTAGTTATGGCCCCAGATGACTCTCGGTGTTGCCATCTGCAATGTACTAAATCTCTTCATCTCCCGAGGCCTTGGGACTTGCTCTGCTTCCTGGTGCCCCACATGAGATCACCAAAAACTCTCCCTTTGGACTTCACACCATTCTGCACTAAATTTACAGTCATCCATTCTTTTTTTCTTCAGTTTCTTCTCTTTCACTTTGATCTCTAGAACTCCTGTTATCTTTGAGCATGTCCCTCCATTTCCTACTTGATTTGCCAAAAAGGTGTTCCACAATAAGCTGTTGAGCCCCGATGAGTTATCTGCTGTGGTGCTTCTTTCTTTCTTTCTTTTTTTTAAATGTTTATTTATTTTTGAGAGAGAGAGAGAGAGAGAGAGAGACACGGAGCATGAGTGGGGGAGGGGCAGAGAGCGAGGGAGACACAGAATCAGAAGCAGGCTCCAGGCTCCCAGCTGTCAGCACAGAGCCCAATGAGGGGCTCGAACTCACGAACCACGAGATCATGACCTGAGCCAAAGTTGGACGGAGGCTCAACCGACTGAGCCACCCAGGTGCCCCTGCTGTGGTGCTTTCTTAGTAAAATGTGCGATTCCAAGATCTTTGCATGCAGCATTCTCCAGAATCTTCAAGAGATACTTGTCTCCTCCTCTTTTAAACTTCATGCTCTCATTGGATCCCAAACTGATTTTCTCCTTAGAACTTGAGTGATAATTACAGTTCTCAAAATAGGAGTGATCAATACATCCTAAATCTACTGAGATACCACATCCTCAGTTTCTTTGAACTCAACCTTTAGCTTTTCTTCCCTTCCTGGTCTTCTCATCCAATTTAAATACTATCACTATAGTTCTGTATTATCAAAATATACAGAGAATGATCCCTTACCAACTGTACAAAGAGAATTGTTTCTAGTGGTTCATAGAGCAAGGCCGTTTTAAATGCTACCTCAGGTATCAAATGTTCTTTGAGATGTTCTTGACCGTGAATTCCAATCATCTCTTTTTGACAATTTCAAGAGAGCACAAAACATTCTAAGAGCATTTATAGAGTAAAGTAAGTTTAGTGATTGTATTTTTTCTATACCTTTTAAAATAATGCTCTGTCCTAAATTTTAGCAGTGGGATGGTATCTCTTCTGTAAATAGGATTTTGAGGAATTTGAAGTCTCAGAGTCACACAGTTGGCATCATTCTATCTTGGCACAAATTACAAAAATCATAAAGAGCATTCTAAATATAGATTCCCTTTTTTCCCCCTAGGGTGGAGGTAGAGGAACTTAAAATTTATCCCAGAATAATTTTTTTTTTCAACGTTTATTTATTTTTGGGATAGAGAGAGACAGAGCATGAACGGGGGAGGGGCAGAGAGAGAGGGAGACACAGAATGGGAAACAGGCTCCAGGCTCTGAGCCATAAGCCCAGAGCCCGACGCGGGGCTCAAACCCACGGACCGCGAGATCGTGACCTGGCTGAAGTCGGACGCTTAACCGACTGAGCCACCCAGGCGCCCCTATCCCAGAATAATTTAAATAAAAAAGGAATAAGCCTTCACATTACTCATTCATATACTTCACTTAGATAAATGTTTTCAAATTCTCATTTCTTTCTTAACACAACTCACTTTCCAAAATGGGTGAGCCTTAGGTTTACTGATAAACTTTTATTATTTTTTTCCCCTAAGAAACAAACTTTCTCCTTAGAGAAAGTCAAAATAATCATGTACTGATTTCCTAATTATTTAATATTAAACTTAAACTTTAATTTGACCTTTTTGGGAATAAAGTAATATGTACTCTGAATAATTCGTTAGAATTCTCTTCTGCTGTCTTAAAGGAGCTCCTCCTTAGCTTACTGACAGTCAAGGACTGGCATGCCTTGAAGATGGAAATATCTCTCTAGATGACTTCTTTTCCTCTGTGGTTGGAGAGGAGCAGGAAGTGCTCCTATGGCTGAAAATATTTATTCTTCTTTGCCTCTGAAAGGTGGCAAATTTAGGAGGAAGAGTCACAAAGTTCCAGGACTTCAAAAGACCATCTATCAGGGATATGAGTTTCTCCTTCTAGGCTCAGGTAATGCCAGCTGAAATGTCTCCTTTTTTTTTTTTTTTTTTTTTTTTTTTTTTTTTTTTTTTTTTTTTTTTCAACGTTTATTTATTTTTGGGACAGAGAGAGACAGAGCATGAACGGGGGAGGGGCAGAGAGAGAGGGAGACACAGAATCGGAAACAGGCTCCAGGCTCTGAGCCATCAGCCCAGAGCCCGACGCGGGGCTCGAACTCACGGACCGCGAGATCGTGACCTGGCTGAAGTCGGACGCTTAACCGACTGCGCCACCCAGGTGCCCCTGAAATGTCTCCTTTTAAACTTCAAGTGTGTTTCTTTAAACAAAAGAATCTTCAGGTCTGTTTCTTTTTTGGAGTTGTGACTGTCAACTCACTTCTTCCCGTTGTGCAGTGTTATTACGGTAAGTTCACAAAATAGAAGAATGAACTCGGACAAATTCTGGTTTGTCATCAAACAAAAGATTAAGAAAGTGCAGGCATTATTCAACATAATTAGCTTGCTGTAGTAGATCGTAATAATACAAGGTACAGACAACCACCAAATGTATTACCTTATGCTTCCAAATCAACAAAATACATGACTTACTGGGTTCAAGTCCCAGCCTTTCCTCTTACTTCTCCTGTAGGCTTGAACCTATCATTTTGTCTGTCTGGGTTCAATTTTGTTATCTATAAAATGAAGGACTGAACTCTCCAGGGGGGCAAGTGCATGCCAATTCCTATTGATAGTGTCTGTCAGGAATTCTGGGTTGAGAAGAATGCTGAGGCCATATCCAAGTAGGAAGTAATGCTATGATCTGTCTTTAGTAGAGAAATATATTTGGCATGCTCAGGCAGGATGACATCTAAAGCCCTTCTCAACAGCAGCGTTCATGAGACTAAGTTCATTGATCACCAATTAACAATGTTTTGCAACCACTTTCCAACTGACATTTAAGAAAAAAACAACAGGACAAAACAAAAACATGTGATCATTATATGGAAAATCAAGACGTTTCACTCCAGTGTAGAAAAATAGTTTCGGTAAGTGGCTTTGGTCAGGAGGAAAAAAAAAACCTTTTGCTTTTTGTAGAAAAAGATGCAGTGTTTCTCTTCTACTTCATGTAAAGAAAAGTGGCCTTATCTCTTAAAGGAATGAAGTTAAAAAAGCAATTTAATGCCTTACCTGTGATGAATTCTACAGCCTAGGCATGGTCTGTGACTGAAATAAAAACAGTAGCTGACCACCGCCAAATGAATGGCCTGCAGTACTTTGATGTTGAGTAAACTCAAAGGTGAAGGGCAGACTGCTGAGAAAAACTTTTGATTCCAAGCCAGGATTTATAAACCTGGATTGATCAAATATAAGGTAAATCTTAGTGAGAGGGGGAAAAGAAACCCCACAGAAAGGTCGTGTACCTAGCTGGATACTGATGTTCCTCAGAATAGTTTTCTACAGCAATTATCTAGGTTAGTAATTAAATTTCAATTTGGCTATAGAAATAATACATTAA